TGTGTGTGTGTGTGTGTGTATGTGTGTGTGTGGTGTGGTCGCACCCATGCTGCGGTGGTCACAAAACCAACACACACTGTGTTTCCTTGCTAGTTCACTTGAGTTACTTCAGCAAGCTCCACGTTGAATCTATGTCCTAGTGCGAGTGGCGCACGCCGCGTCGTCGCAACATGGATATACTGTCCCACCCTCACAGTAGCATATCTTGCGCATGAAATAAATCAGACTACGGGAATGATAGGTAACGATCTACACCATTGTAATCATAGCGATGTTGCAGAACGAAAAGAAGTTTCAACGGAATGGGTTGAATTTGACGATTTCAACTATGACGATGAAATTCGTGACTATGAAAGCTCTGAACCATCAACGGCGAACGTACCTGAGAAAATCTCTCTAGTAAGTGAAAAAATGTTCGCACAATTTTGTACCAGTCCAGTGAAGGAATGCATTTCAGAATAGAGCATATGGCTACGCAATGCGCACAGAGTTGATCACACAAGTTCAAGACCATAAATGCCTTTGGGATTACAGAACCAATGACTACAGAGTCCAAGACTCAAAAGCGAGAGCATGGGAAATGGTTCGCTGTTCTATGAAAAGCAAGGGATTCGATTATGAAGGTATGTCACCAATATATTCTGGGAGACGAGAAAGAGAATCGTAATTTGCCGCTTAGCCGCGCGCGGCGATAGGCGCTACAGTTCCTTAGCTCGTTTTAACCTGTCGATTAGAGCACTAGACTTCATGTAGACCTGTCATCGTGGACATTCATGACTATTTTCGGTTCTGAATTGCCTGTTGTCGCCATCTACTACCTGAAACCATCGTCATTTGCGGGCGCGACGTCGCACGCGACGCCTTCCAACGCGGCGAATTACGATTCTCTTGTCACACGCCCATATATGTATTCTGACGTGCAGGTGTGGCACAGGTCCGTTAAGATACAGGACGTGTCACTTAAGTCGTTCATGAGATAACGAGTCACATAGTACGTCGTCGACTCCCACGATTATCAGAGATGTCCCAAGACACGTCATTAGTCATGTAGTGTGACGTCGTGCACGCGTCATCCATCTTTGATCAGATAACTCGACTATGTACCTATGCTACATCAGCACCTGCGCTAATTCAATAATACCAGGTTGGTACATAACTTCCGGTTGTTTTTGTAGAAACTCTGAAAGAGCTAAAACTTTTGCGACATAACCCTTTAAGTGGCGTGGGCATCCGCGACGCCAATCAGCTTATTCGCTCGCTGCTTTCTAGGGCTTTTAGTCTAGTTTTCCTTTGAGAGGGTAGGGAAGAGCAATCGCTGGATTTCCCTAATCGCCGGATCTACTCCGTCACAAAGTGCGAACGGGTCTGATGTGCAGCACTTCCGCTAATAGTCCGATCCCATCATCGACAACGTGAGAGAAACTGGAGCTGGACTTAATTTTACTGGACCTGAACTTAATTTTCTGGTATATACCGCTCATGTCGAAGGGAATCCTAGAAAAATTAAACATTCTTGGATGAATAGATCTTTCGCGTTCATTCTGTATCCCTAATCTCGGCATAGCGAATGATCACCTATCCCACCCTCTTGCTCACTTTCTCAATAAGAAATCTTACACTGACCTGCAGGATCTCAGAACCTATATCCAGCTTTCTTTGGCCAAAATGTCTGATCTTCTGCAAGATAGACATCATGCAGTCTCCTATGTGTAGGCGATATATGGTAGATATTTGTGGTGTATACTACGTTAGGTATCTAGATAAAAGGAAAATCAGAACTGTTAGTATTCGGGAGCAGTAAAGCTGTTGCGGAAGTTATTAGTCAGCCAAGTATTATATTTCATGACAGTGGTGCGATTTCACTACTGATACCGTTATTTTGTAGTGATCAATCTGAAAAGGCAGTGGAAAAGCCTGAAGGACACATGGAGGAAAATGAAGCAGAAAGCAGGACCAGGGGGTAGAATGCTATGGACGTATACCAAGCAAATGCGGTTTCTGGAGGAAGTCGAATTCATAGAGTGAGGGATTTTTCAGAATAAGCAACTTATAAACAGCCATAATTCTAATAGTTCTGCTTCAGAGGTCGTTATCCGAACTACGTTAACGCATACCCCTCTCCATCTGCACGTGCTGAGACAAATACCCTGAAAGCGCAAAGCTCCTGCTCTTGATGAAGGTGATGAGGAATAGTCCCTTGAGTGTCGCATCACTGGGGGAAAGTAAAAGTGTTCCAGGAGTTCAAAATGCACCAGACTCCGATGCAAAGAGGACGAACTTAAGTCCTCCGCTGCAGGCACACGACCAATTTTCAGCATTTGGTTTGTAAAACTATGTTCGTTAGCGTTTGCTATACAAAATCGTTATTGGATAGTTTCGACCATTTAGGACAAATGGTGGCCGAGGTTCTTCGCTCATTACCTATGGAATCGGCAAAATCAAAAATGCATATTATCAGTACTACTCTGTTCGCCAGTGGTGGAACCGCTCCGGCTAATGGCTGCTAGTTGAAAAAGGGGCCACGTAGTCATCCGTAAAGAGTACATGTGAAAATTAAAAACATTCTCAGGTGATTAGTCAGGCTCTTTCGGATTCTTCTAATTGAAAATCAATTTTCTGTTCTTTTTCGTGTTTATATGGCCATTTATAACTGCGAGCGATAACGTGCGTTTGAGTTTTCTTAACAGCTCTGTATGTACCATCGAGGGTAATGGTAACTGCACTTCATGAAATGGTGCCAGCTACTGCGATCTGTGCGATCCGTGCCGTCTTGTCTTTGGGTATTGAGTAGAATTGACTCACAATGCTTGTTTAGTATCAACCTCTGACGAACGCATTGCTTATACTTGGTGGCGTGATACTGATTTTTGTACATTACCCCATTTGCCTAGAAATTTGATTTGTATTTGCGCGGAACAAGGATACAAACTCAAATGTTGGTAAAACCGGCTAAAAATTAATCGCGAGACCGTGACATCGCATGAGCGTGACACCTTCGCAATGACGCGCGTCGACGGCTACCATTGCAACTGCGCTCGAATGCTGTGGACAAGAAGGCAACCACAGACGGGTATTCATCGGCGCCGTCCGTTACTGCTTTAAGAGGGTAGGAGGGTACATGTTTCCGATCACTAGATCTGATACCCTCTATTTTTAAAACCTCCCCAAAAACACCAACGGTCAGCGCCAATCGATATCCATCTATAACCTTGTTCATGTCTATAGCATTGGAGCACCTTTGCAATGGTGTTGCGCCCGACGTAAGGTAAACGGCAAAATCGCACTTGAGCATCCGGCGCGCGGTCCCGGCACGATTACCCTGAAGATGCTGCGCGCGCTCATACGGTCGCACAACCGCGAAGTATGAAAGCGGTCGTATTTTGCATAATCGAAGATCAGGCGCGCACCTGACGAAGTTCAAAGGAAGCAAAATAGATGTTTCAATTCGAAACGCTTTAATGACTTGCATAATGCTGGCTATTATAATGTACACTTAGTTAACAAAATCACCCATTCAAGAGCGAGAACCCCTTTTGATCTCCAGTGTGTGTAATCACTTTTCAGATGTCAATCACTGTAAGGAATGTAGAAAGTCTCGCCATACTCAACCAACTTGATGGGTCAAATCCAAAAGCTGGCCAAAATGCTTCACCAGAACGGCTCCACTGAGTCAACCGGGAATTATCTGAACCAACCCGTTGAAAGTTCAAGGCATAAATCAATGCGTACCTCCTGCCACCGTTTCCCCAGATAGAGTACTTTGTCAGAAGCGTTGCGTATAAAGGTGCCCTATGCTTCGCATTGCTGGAGGCGCACTGTATATACACTCACAAAATGCCACATTCTAATGTGGCATGTAATTGCAGGACCCGCAAAATGAACGTGCAAAATTGATTGAATTGCTACGACATTGATGAAGTGTACAGAAGCTGTTTCCAACTGCTCTCTTGAAGAAGCCATTTCGAGCGCAGAATGCTTAAAGTTAAGGAAGCGGGTAGACTTTAGAGGAAATGTCCCCACGTTGATGGGCGAGGTGCCTAAACATGATGAGAAGGCGTTTGTTCCTCCTTACAGGACTTTACCTCCAGTTCAACGGAAATTTAGTGGGAAACGCTACATCATCAACACTACTGTAAGATTCATGCTTTTTTTTGGTGTGGTGATATTCCTTGAATTCATAGTAGTCAACTTGAAGATGTTACTCGCTGGTGACGATAGTGACCATGATGCCCTAGTGCCGAAACCGCGCCGCGACCGCCGCTCACAAAGGCCGGATGCTGAAGTGCGATTTTGCCGTTTCCCGTCGCCCGTTGCGCCGCCACGCGTCGAACTCTGAACGCTGCAGTATCACGTGGCCATCGACGTGACAACGATAGCGTTGTTACGGCTGCGACATTACAGAATGGTCGCTGCTGAGAGCTTGTGTACATAACGTTATTGGAGAACGGAAGAATTCGCGAGAAAGTGTACAGGCGGTCTGCGGAGCGGGAGTATTTCGGGAAAGAGCAAGACTGATTATTTGGCCCCGCCCGAGCGCTGTGAGAGGCCAGCAGAATCCGCGAAGAAGAATGCGTACTTATTGACAAGGAATTCTGGGAATGAGCTAGACAGACGTTGATCATTTGGCTCTGCCTAAGCCTTTCGGAAGAATCGAAGAAGTCGCGAAGGAGGGCGGACGTGGACTGATTTCATTGGTTCCATCCTGTAAAAATTTGTAGAAATTAGTGTCTATCTTGTTCCTTTCGCGTATCCTCTTATTCTCAGATTCTCCAACACGACGGCGGTTATGAAATACGGTTTAACTGTAGTCCTTTCAAGAGATCGCGCGAGTACGATCGACTGCTCGCGTCGCCCGTCAAAATACTGAACCTTCAGGGTAGTAAATACTGTGAACCCTATTTTCTTGATAAGTGGAGTATCACTTTCTTGTTTACCTGTCTATTACATTATGATGGTCTTCTGACCATTCGTTTTATTTGTATGGGATGCTGTTCTCTTTTTTTTCCAAATTTTTTTTTCATCGGAAACTATTACTGATGTTTTCATAGTGGCAGTTTTTGTTGGGTTTCTGAACCGTAATGCTTGACTTGATCAGTGTGGGTTTGACTTTTAGCTCTTCGGCTTGGGAGGGACATTTCGCATTTGTGCTGGTTCCTTCTACTTGTACATGTTGAATGACAGGTCTCACTCTGTTAAGGCCTGTAAACTCTAGTATAGCTGCGAAATGAAGAGTTTACAAGACTTGGCGAAGAGCTCATATAGGCTTCGCTGAGCACCATTTATTGCCACCACTGTGTCGAACATAAGACGCTTTATTTTTTTGTGTTTACTTTATCTTTTCCTTTTGGATTATTCCATATTCATGTTTTTCACGAGTATAGGATGATATTCAGCAGGAATAGCTTTTGTTCATGATTTATACGATTTCTTTGCAATAAAATCGGTCTAAATTTGTATTTGATAAAGTCCACTGCAGTGTTAGTGTTGTAGTAAACGAAGCAAGTCTATGCAGTGCCCAACACTGCTTACCGGACAAGCTGCCAATAAAGAAGACGAAGAGTAGACCCCGCCGTACGCGGATTCGTACTGCCTAACCAGCCTCTCATACGGTTAACTGATATCGGATTTGTTAGGAAGAATAAATGCAGGAAAATGAGTTGATCACATCACATACGCGAACTTCTTCTTCAAAGCCATCCTCTGTGTAGACCAAATCAAATCTAAAACCGCTACGATTCTGGATGGATATAGAATACGTGGCGCATCCTAAAGGGGCTGATTATCATCGAAAATATCCTCCTGTACCCTCATTTACCACTTACGGACGCTTCCTTAGAATCGCTGAAGTTTAATCAAGCTTTTACTTTCACTATAAACTCGTCATGAACAGTTATGCAAATGGGTGGTGATATTTGTTTGCGCATTCGGCCCACGCCACATGAGATTCCCCCTTTCTCCCCAATAATTTTGAGCACTGAGCCACACGCCCCGGATCCTAAAATGGCGAGTTGTGCAGCCTGAATACTCATGGCAAGATAGTGACATAAAAGTGAAGAGAAAGCAGAACAAGCTCGCTCGAAATGTCCCATATAGAGCCCCGTGCTCGCGCACGTACGTCCACAAGGTGAAGAGGGGGGTGGTCGGACGAGTTCCACTTGCTGATGTCTGCTCTTTCTCCTGACCTCACGCTCACCATTCCTTATGGAGAGATATCATATCAGGGGTATCAAGGGTCAATGAGAGGAACGACGGCGTCATGGGTTTGCTCACTGTTTTTGGCGCCGCGAAATTGGTGCAGTAGCTGCCCTGTGGACCTGACTTTCTGCTTACCAAGGGGTGATGGACGTCACAACTGAACGCGGCACTGCCCATAAAGTACATAAAAGTTGGGTGAGCGTTGCCGAGACTAGTGAGCGGAGCCGTGAC